ACTTGAATAAAAAACTAACATTTGGAACTGATATTCATAATTTAAATATTCCCTTTAAGAGCAAACCAGACACCTCGAAAATTTATAATTCATTCTGAGCCTTTATTTTTAGTCTGATTTTTGTAATAAAAACTTAGGGTAGAAACCTTGAATTTTTTGTAAACCTTCGAAAAATATTTATTTTGAAAAATTTTAAAAAGAATTAAAAAAAAAAGCATTTACGCGCCATAAAAATTCACTGCTTTTTGTTTTAATAAATATCTAGGAGTTTTTAAATGGAATGCTTTACCACCTTTTTTTCTTAAATGTATCTGCCTTATCGTTGTACAAATGTAAAGCTCTCAACATTGTCAAGACACATAATATCACGAAGTATTTCCAATGACATGCATATAAATACAATTTTATAGTAAAAAATCCTTAAAACATTTTTGCTTTCACGAGAGGTCCGGTTTCCTATTAAATCCATTCTTAAATTGTTTAGATCTTTTAAAGCTAGTTTTAAAAGTTCTTCAATTATTATTTCAATAAAGCTAGTTTTAAAAGTTCTTCAATTATTATTTTAAATTTCAATATGCCACTAGAATCTCCGAGAGCCATGGTGGAGCCTCGGTGCATTTTTATAAAAAATCAAGTTCTTTCTGTGACATTTCTTAAAAAAAATCCTCAAGCAAAATCAGGTTCCTTGTAATTGTCGGAAACTGGGTCCTCCTTTTTGTGACGAACTTTAAAAATATTAAACATCCTCAACTTAAGCTGCCGGGCCCCCCTTGTATCCGGGTTCCAGGAATTTGTCCCCCCTGTCCGTCCCCTCTCGTCGGACCTGAGAATTACACGACATTTACTAAAATATCTGATATTTATTTAAAATTAAGATATTAATTTATTTAAAGTATAAGCGTTTGTAGTTAGGCAATATATCTTACTGATTAGTAAATTACTAGCTGCAAAACGGGTTGCCTATTAAGATTTTTATTTAAAGTATGGAATCGAGCAAAAAAGCCATGATCTTGATGAAACTTTGCAAGTTGTTGTAATGCAGTATAATGCACCTAAAAAGACTGCTATAGTTCTACACAATTTCTTGTAAAAATCGGATTTTTCACTGTTATGTTTAAGATAAAAGGACAGATAGTGGTTTTTCATTAGCCTTTCTACTATCTTCAATAAGGTAGGTAACAAGGTTTAAATTGTTTAAATATTTGAATATTTATAAATATGTAAAATATGAGAATAATTAATACAATACCAACAAGATTATTTGAAATGAAGCGTGAAAAAAATTAACATACCTCCTTTTTAATGAATAATATTCAAAATATGAAATATCACATAAATAACTTATGGTAAATGGACGACTTTGCTTTTAAACTGCCTTTCCGAAATTTTTATTGCATATAAATAATAAAAAGTATACAAAAAAAATCTGCTAATTATATGCAAATGTGAATAACAATAATACATCATTTTCCATTTGCATATTATTTGTTTATTATGGATTACATAAAATTACTATGGAGATAGTACTAGTAATCAGAGACAATCCAGCCAGACGTGTAACTCAATGTATTTTTTTTTGTTCGGTAAAAGTTGTTTGGGCGATTGTAACCACAACCAGTCTATGATGGCGCCACTAGTAAATAGCGGGAAAATTAAAAATGCTTTAGGGCGGGAAATTAAAACATGAATTCAGAAATAAATAGTTTTTCTATACAAATTTACAGGAAAAACAAAAACTATTGTTTCACTGTATATTAAAAAATATAAAAGCTTTCAATAACATCAAATTTTTATCATATAAATAATCATTTTAATAAAGGAAGTTTTAATCAGTTTAATATAAGCAGTGAACATAGTTTTTATTACTCTTGTAAATTTCGCTAAAAAACTTTTATTGATTATTAAATATTTAAACTTGGAAAAATAAAACACCAAACTCTTTTTCTATAAATTATATTTTTGTAAGGTACAGAAAAACAAACTACAATTGCTACGTTTAGAAAGTACCTCGTATTATTTTGTGACAAATTACAAAGAAAGTAACAGTTGTTATATATTCATAATATATTTAAAAACTAATGTAACAAATATTTTATAAAGTATAGAGTATATCGATACCTTTTTGCAAGACTATCATAAGTGCCATTTGAACAAATGTCGCTTACGAAATATTTGACAGTGTCCTAAACACATTTCTAAAAAAAAAGTTCCTCAAGCGCCAGATCCTCCCTTTTGTGGCGAACTTCCTCATATTACTGCTTTACTTGTTTTTTATTATTATGACTATTATTTTCTTCGCGGAGCTCCCCCCCCCCCACACTTTGAGAAACACTGCTCTCTGTGACTGACTGATTGACAATGCACAGCCTACACCCGCGAAATTTTGAAATTTGGAAGAAATATTCCTTGGGTACCAGAGCGGTGTACTATAACTCGAACAATTTTTAAATGAAGGATTATTGGTCGGCCGGCAACAATGTATTTCTAGAATTACACATAATCCTCGAATGCAGCGGCGTAACAATGATTCGCGATAAAATGCTTTAATTGACATGATTTTATGCAAAATTAAAAGGTATCTGCTTTACAAAAGATAAATACAAATTTTAAGGTAAAATAAACAAACCTTTGGGAAAATATTCTAATAAAAATCAATATTCTTAATACCATTTGCAGAAATTGAATAATTAAAATTATTAAATAAAAAATTAAAAACTAAAAAATCGTCAGGTGCAGACGAGGTGTCCAGTTATATTATGAAAAAGTCACTCGATGATATTCTGTGAATCCGGTGAATTTCCTGCCAAACTACTTACAGGTAAAGTGTTGTCATTACACAAAAAAAAATTGATTCGATGTTACTGAACAATTATAGGCCTGTGACAGTACCCTGTGGATTAACTAAGATATTCCAATATCCATTTCTAGATCGCCTTTTATCATTTTTAAAACGACATCAAATTGTCACAAAAAATCAACATGGATTTTGCGCAGAATAGTCAATAGCAACAGACATGATCTCTTTTATAATCAGATTATTGAACATATTGAAGCAGCCGAGTACCCTGTGGCGATATTCTGTGATTTAAGTAGATCATTTGACGCATGAATCATGAATTATTATTATCTGTACTGGAGACATATGAAATTAGAGGCAATTCTTTAAAATGGATATCCACCTTTCTTAAAGACCGACAGCTATATGTATCTGTAAAATTTAAAATAGGCATCAAAACTAAAGAAATTAATATTTTAGGTACGCATATGGGAGTTCCACAAGGGTCAATATTAGAGCCAATATTGTTTATTTTATATGTCAATAGTGTAGACTCTTTAATAGGTAATAATCATTATGTGGCATATGCTGATAGTTTCATCAAATAACAGTGATGGGCTAAAAGTTGTTTTATGACTAACAGAGATGTTCATAGTTATCAAACTAGACAAGTTAATGAAGTGCACGTGCCTTATGCAAGGTTGCACATTAGTTCTAAAGCACCAAATTTTCTGGGTCCAAAATTTAATTTTTTCTTGCTTATTTAAGACATAAAAAGGTATAATTTCACCAAATTTCATCCAAATTAAATTATTTTTGAATAAATTAAAAATAAAAAACCTAAAAATTAGGAAATTAGACGATTAAAATACAGATTATATACCAATAATATCATTAAGCTATTAATAACAAAAAAGTCACTCTATAATGGGCGTATAAAGAACTTATGAAACTTTAATAGTAATTAAAACGTAAAAGTATTATGTTTCATTTTAAGCCGTTTTATCTCGAATTTATTAGAATGATATTATAAAAAAATAAACTACTACAACTAATCATATACCTGTCTCACGCTACTATACTGATTTATTTAATTGAATTCATACCTAACTAGTTTGTTAGACTTCCCAGTAGACCTCCTTAGTATTGACGAGTTTATCGCTTATTCAAAGAATTTACCTAACTTGGCTAGATATAATATTTGTACGAGGAGTAAATATAAAAGCAACATTTGCTCATATGTAGTTCCTGATTTTATTTAATAGAAAAGGTACGAAATAGCAGGCTTCACGTCCAAAAATATACAGTGAAAGTAAATGCAATTAACAGGTTACTCTTTACTTCAAAAAATATAAGTTTAAAACAAATGTATAAAGTATTTAAGATAAAAAATATCAGATAACTTGGCATTGAAATTGATAGTAATCTAAAGTGAGAAAATTTGTATACTACGCAATAAGGGAAATATAAGATGAAAGTGAAAATGATAAGATAAAAATGGGAAATTCCTCAAAAGTAAAACTGGTAAAAAATATAAAATTTTAATTAAAATTCCTTCCTTACTTTCAGCTAGCAAATTAATGACATAATTTGTATTTATGCACCATCTAAATATATTAATACAACATTTTCTTGTCTTTTTACATAAAAATGGTGCCATTTATTTGCTAGTCAATTCTAAGCCGAATTTCACCGACCCTACTGAGCTAGGCCGAGGGTAACTAGGGAAACATTTCTAACAGCCAATCTGTCATGTAACAGATTCGGCACTCAATTTAATTACCACGTAGCAACTTAATGGCAAATGTTTGTCATATTTATTAATTTGTTAATTTTACATAAATCGTTTACGAATACCACTTGGACTAAATTGTTGCATTATCACAAATATATAATCATATTTCATTATATCCCACTTTTGAGGTATTACTTATTTATTACCTACAGCAATTTTGACATTCATAGGAAATTGCTAATAGTTTAAGTGTTGAGTTATTCGCGCAATGCAGTTTTTTTATATATTTCTATTATTATTATTTTTTAATATAGTAAGCTGTGCGAAAATTTTAGGTATATTTCCTATTTCTAGATATACCCAGTTTATTTTAGAAGAAAAATTAATATTTGGCAAAAAATAAACATAACGTGTCTGTATTAAGTTTATATAAACAATTATAAAATATTTTGTTATCTCCCACTTTAAGATATAAGGATTTTAAAAATACGAATATTTTATTTCTCTGTGTTATTCTTGAAAATGGAGTTCCTTTCTAGTTTTCCGCTATTAATAATATTTTTCAATATAATAAGCTGTGCTAAAATTTTAGGTATATTTCCTAGTCCTGGATATAGCCAGTTTATTTTAGGGGAAAGACTTATGGGAGAATTGGCAAAAAGGGGACATGAGGTGACTGTAATAAGTGAATATGAGCCAAGTGAGAAAATTAAAAATTACGAAACAATCAAAATGAACAAATCTAATCGATTTGACGACAATTGTAAGTACATACTCAAATATTTTACTATTATTAATTAGAAAAATATAAAAATGGGATGAATAATTTAAAATAATATTATATCTATAAATCACTAGACTCAATCAAAGCCACTCCAGGCATTTTTGTCAATCTTTCAAAAGCTTTTGGTACTGTGTAACTGAACAATATTGAGATTCGTAAAAAAAGGATATGATTTGTTTAAACTTTCTAATAGAAAATATATCGTAAAAGTGACAGAAATACTCAAGAAATACTCCAAGTCCTCTGACAAAAGAGTATCGCCTGTTTAATTACAGTTTGCACGTGTCTTCCTTATATTTTAGTTGCACTTTGTTGTTGCTTAACAGCGTACACTTTATTAAGGTGCGTTTACACGAAAAAAGAAGTCACTTTGAAAAAATTAAGATTACGTTTTCCATTTTGTCTACAAATACTAGAACAATTTACTCTCGTACTTTATAAATAAATTTCCCAGTTGAACATTGGCAGGGCAAATTCGTGAAACAGATTGTGTGTTAAAAAAATATATTATTAACAAAAAATACGAAAAATATTTATTGGATAAAGTTAAAATTGAACATAGCAATATCGGGGTGAGGTATAGACAATTTTTAATAATATGGTAGTAGTTGACAGGAATGTTCCTGTTTTGAGAGAATTATTGATGGATAGATAGAAATGAAAATGTAGATAATAAGAACATTTTAAAAGATACAGTTATAGAACAAGACCAACAGAATAAAGAAATATAGAAAGAGGACTTAATGCAAGTGCTGATTGAAATGAATGAGAACATAAGACAAACGAAAGGGAAAATGAAGAAAATGGATGAAAATAGAAAGAAGATAAGGAAGAATTCATTAAAAAAATGGATGAATTGGAAAGAAAAATGGGGGACAGTTAAAACAGAATGAAGAAGCAATGGGTAACAAGATGGACAACATAAAAAAGAAATTCAAAAGTTTAGATAGGTCAACAAAAATTTATTTAGGAAAATAGAAGGAATTATAGATAATAATGGAAGTGAAAAATCGTAAGAAAGAATAGAAATAAATAAAGAAGAAATAAAAAGAAGTAAACACAGAGTCAAAATATAGAAAAAGATGGAAATAAGAACAAAGAAGAGAAGAATTGAAAAGGAAAATAAAAAACAAAATGAAAGAAAACAGAGAAAAAAAAACATAAAGGCATAACAAGTAAAAATAAATCTAGTGTAAAAGTAAAATAGATACAGGAAAATGAAAAAAAAAAAATTAAATAATAAATAAAAATAAAAAAAGGATAAAATTAAAACAGCGATAATGGAAGGAAAAATGGGATGAATGTTTCAATCAATAATATGACTAACGTAAGAGTAAAAAAGTGTTGTTTATTTAACTTGTAAGTTTATCGAACATAGTGTTATTTTTATTTAGTCTAATTTTATTGTGACATCACTATACATGGAAAGGTTTCAGTGAACCGATTTTTAAAATATAACCTTTATAAAGCTGCACTATAGTTCAGTTTATCTCCCAGGTACTAATATCGTTAAATATTTAATTGAGTTTTCATAATAATATAGGTACATACCTAACATAGACACAACTATTTAGTTTCTTGAATTCATTTAGGCCAGTGCAATATTTATTTTTTATACTGTCTTTAAAAAAACTGTAATGTAAGTTTAGCTTCCATTTTTATATATCTGTTGACGCGTTGACTTCTCCATTTAGCTACAGGCTTTCGCGAAAACCTCTCGCTTACTCAGAATAGTGCACCACGAAGTCGCGATTAGCCAGAGCGAAGTGGCGTATCCAAAAATAGAGATTAACACGTATGAAAATAAAGCATCACACAAGACTCAATCCAGTACAAGCGAAATCTGTCAATGGCTTGGGTTGATTACAAAAAAGCGTTCGGGGTCCCTTCGTCTTTTGAGGCAACTGAATTTGGCCGAAGATCACTGACCGAGCGGATGTAAGGAGTGATCTTCTCAGCGACCAGGCCTTTCGCGTAATGTACTGGGCATAGATAAATTAATATTAAAAGATAAACCGTTTAAATGCACGGCACTGGTAACAAGTGGTAGTTCCCAGCCATACTACTTGGAGCCACCGTCGCAAATAAGATGACAGCGATGTTGTCAGTTTCCATAAACTTTCATGAGATTAGAGTTAATTCAAACGCATAAGCTGCACTTTATTTTGTTGTTGTCGTGCTCGATACCATCCATACAATGGCCATACTATTGCTGAGATATTTTAAAGAGAGGTTTGGCAACTGTGTTGATAACCTCGTTAAAAATAAAGAACGGAATGGCGGAAGACGAAATAGTCGAAAAATACACAAAAACCGTCATAAAATAAAAGTTATTATGATGTTGTGGATATAATTATCCTTCGATAGGTAAGTTATTATTAGGTTAAGAAGATTGATAAGTGCTGATTTGATGAAATTAGTAAGTATTAACAATATAATTTAATAAGGTGTTAGATTTGTTTAAGGTCTTTGTTTATCATTGTTTTCTTATAGCCTTAACGAAGTATAATTTCATTTTGGATCGATTTTCAATTCTTTTTTAATATACCTATTTGTAACAAAACATGTCTGGCCCTGGTAAAATTAAGTAATCTTTTTCAGCCCCTTAATTTAAATAAGTATTATTCTAATATTCAGCAGGCTGGTTATTCAAATAAAACCTTTTTTCATTATCCTTCCGATATTAAAATTCGTGAAAACTGTTTTAAGAATTTACATTTATCTTTAGATAATAAAATTCGCTATCTTTTTGAAGATCATTTTTGGCCAGATTCTTTTAGTAAAATTGCTTCAAAACATAAACGACTAATTGCAAATTCTGTACCAATTTTATCAGCTAATAGTACATCCAGTTCAACTATACTCAATACTCAACCCAAATAGTCAGATTTTAGAAAATATTGAGGATGAAGCACATACACAGTAGCATAAGATAGATTTGCTAATCTGCAACGAAAAACAAGAAATGATTTGCAAACGTAAACTTAGTATTAGTGATAAACGATTTGAACAACCCTCTGTTAAAAATGAAAAGTAATTTTCAAACTCAAATTTGTTAGATCAACTAGAACAGATTAGTTAAAATATAATTCAAATCGACCATTGCACTATGAGAAATAAACTGAAAGTTTTCTATAAACTAATTTTAGACAAATTAAAAATATTTTTTTTATAAGAAAGGGCAACATTTTGATAAAAAAAATTGTTTAATAAGATGTAAGTATGTACACTTTTTTGTTTTTATAGGAAACCCCTGACACCTGCATCAAAATTTGGTCCAGTTTTCCAAGAACGAGAGGAGAATACTATTAATTCCACTTACAGTTGTTATTTGTACATGTTCTGTATGTAATAAATGTTTTAATGCACCTTACTTTTATTAAATGATTAAACTATACGTATATACCTATTGTTTCAAATATTTTCATTTATATTTTTTGGAGTTTTATTACTTAAAAAACTAATATTTATGTTAAATACAGTATTTTAATGTAAATATTAGTTTTTACTTTCCTATCTGTATACAGATATAAGGAAAGTATAGGAATCATGATTTTTTTCGACCTCGAGTTTTCGACGGATTTTTACGTTTTGAGGTCCCCTGAATCCGTTTTGACTATTTTCGCGATGATGTCTGTGTGTGTGTGTGTGTGTGTGTGTGTGTGTGTGTGTGTGTGTGTGTGTGTGTGTGTGTGTGTGTGTGTGTGTGTGTGTGTGTGTGTGTGTGTCTGTGTGTCTGTGTGTCTGTGTGTGTGTGTGTGTGTCTGTATAACGCATAACTCATGAACCGATACACAGAAAAACACCAAATTTTAAACTTAAGCTTTGTTTCAGCGTCCAATGAGATGATTAGATTTTGGGCAGAATCGGAACATCTGGGGGGGTACTTTATAGGTGGTCATTTTTATATTTTATGGAATATATCTGTTATTTACGTTTGGAGAAGAAAATTCTTCAAATAAAAGTTACTTCTAATATAATTATCTATAATTTTTGTTTCATGCAAAATTTTCTTAAAATGGTCCGTATTCGAGAAATTTGACAAATTCTAAAAAAAATATTTTTTTTTTTAAAATTGTTCAAATAAAAGTTGTTTGTAATATAATTCTCTATAATTTTTATTCTATACATAATTTCTCTAAAATGGACCGTATTCGAGATATTTGAGAAAATGTGTAAATTTCGAAATTTGAAGAAAACTCAAAAACGGATAAAGGAAAAAACATTAAATTTTAAACTTAAGGTTTATTTCGGTCTGACGTGAAATTATTAGATTTTGGACAAAGTCGGAACATCTGGGGGGGTACTTTATGGGAGGCCGTTTTTATATTTTATGGAATATATCTGTTATTTATGTTTGGAGAAAAAAATTGTTCAAATAAAAGTTACTTCTAATATTATTATCTATAATTTTTGCTTCATGTAAAAATTTCCTGAAATGGTCCGTATTCGAAAAATTTGACAAAATGTGCAAAATTCTGATTTTTATGAAAATTGTTGAAATAAAAGTTGTTTGCGATATCGATCTCTATAATATTTGTTCATACATGATTTTTTTTAAATGGACCGTAATGGAAAAATTGTAGGAAAAGTGCTAAATTTAAATTTTTCAGTATTTTCATTTTCAATGAATATCTATAGAAAAATGTTTCGCGGTAGATGTATATGGACAATGTATATATTTAGTTTATCCTCTAAACATTTATAGAGATGCTGCAATAGGTTGTACAAAATAACCGGAAAAAGCCTGTAATAACTAGATAGGAAAGTCATGTGTTGGACACATCAGATTTTTTGTGAAATATTTACAAATGAACAAATGATGAAACATCCATGCTTACAACTAATTCAAGATTCCTGTCCATAATAAAACAAGTGTTTATATTTTGTTGTACTATTTGTTGTATAAAACGCCTATTTTTTAATGAATTTCTCTCGGAATTTCTATTATTTTCTACTTATTTAGTGTTTAAATACTTAAAACGTCCATTTCAAAAGGATTACTGTCCTTATTACAACAAGAGTCATAAAATAAAATAGAAATTTGTATTTTTTAAGTCAAAAAACTTAAACTGTTAAAATTAAGTTATTGGCAAATTTTAAAATTAATTTTTCCCTTTGAACAGTATCTCGTAAATCAGCAACATTTTTATAAGGCTAAATCTTTGTATTCTTAATGATTATAATATAAAAAATATATTTCTAGCTGCATAAATTATTTGTAGAAAAGTATTTAAAAGAAATTGTATAATCAGGCATCATCATGGCTTTTATAACACCTTTTTTTTATTTTCCAGTTGATGTGCTAACGTGGCAAAGAACAAATTCATTTATCTTGAATTATAACTTCCTCGAAATGTGCCTCATATATTCAGAAGCTTTATTACAACAAAAACATATTCAGGAATTCATCAATTCCAATCGGACATTCGACTTGATCATCGTAGAGCATTTTTGCAATGAAGCTCATATGGCGTTTTCCGAACATTTCAAAGCACCTTTAGTTATTTTTAGTTCGCAGCCTGTGAGCGAGTGGAATTATCATTTTGTTGGTAATGTTAAATTACCTTCTATTAATCCTCTTTATGTTACACCATACGAAAAGAAAATGAACTTTTTTGGAAGACTACACAACCTCTTACTAAGTATTTTCGATTTCGTCTACAAGGAATTGAAATATTATCCAGACCAACAAGCTTTTGTAGACAAATATTTTCCCAATAAAATGGATTTAAAAAATGTATTTACAAATACGGAAATGATGCTACTATTTTCACATCCTTTAACCACAGGACCAGATTTAACCACAAGCGCTGTAGTAGAAGTAGGAGGTTTTCATATTGTTTCTAAAAAACTTCCCAACGACATTCAAAATGTCTTAGACGGTGCTAAAAATGGAGCCATACTTGTCAGTTTGGGAACAAATATAGAATGCACCAGTTTATCCAAGGAACAGCTCAATATGTTCTTAAATGCTTTTCGAAAATTACCTCAAACAATTTTGTGGAAGTGCGCACTTGAAATACCTGACAAACCAGTTAATTTAATTTTGTCAAAATGGTTGCCGCAATCAGATATTCTTGGTAAGTTACAAGACTTTGCTGTTCAGTAACATCTCAGTTACAGTTAGTTAGCACAGCGACGTTATTTATTGGTCATTTTATAACACCCTTTCTTAAAGAAAAAGCATTTGCTAAATTTTTTTCATCTTCATCTAGAAGTACATACAGGTAATATTATAGAAAATATCATACAATGTTATTTACAAAAGTTGTAGCTAATAATAATCTGCACATTTCAAAATTTATTTCAAACCTATGTTCTTTTAAATGGACCACCCTGTATTTAATTGTAAATTTGAATTCCCCTGACTTTGTCCCTCAAGAATTGTCGGCTATCAGGATATTTTTGCTTATAAATTCTAGTTGCCAACAAGCAATTTTCATCACTAGCCTCTAGCACTAAAATCATATCAGTCAATTCATTCGTTTCAAAATTCATTTTTAAATTACTCAAATCAATAAATTTAAATACTTGTGAATACTAAACGTAATTTAATTTTTTTATTCAAACAATTCGGATGTGTCAAATTATTCTTTTGACATGAATTTCAAAGCCCACTTGACCTAATGCACAAAAAAATTTATGTTATGTTAGCGTTTTCATTGCATTTTATATAAAAAGTTGTGAAGGTTCCAAAAAATAATTTCAGTTGATAAAAAATTGTACCAGGTACCTTAAAAATATAAACTGATTAACTACTAACTAGTATGTAATATTTAACAGGAGTTTAAATCAAATTACATTGTGAATTTAGTTATAATTAACCCTTTTTAACATTTCATCTAAGAATTTCACTAAACTATTGTGTTTAGAGATAGGCAATATTTAACTCAAACGAACGTATAATTAGAGTACTTTTTAGTAGTGATATGAAATACAGGGTGTTACATTTAAAAAAATTGAGAAAATCATGTATCTGAGTTTTGACTCACCCTGTACACATCTGTTGCGCTAAGAAAAAATTAGTATATTCTTATAAAAGTAGACTATCATTAAAAATGATTCATCATTCGATTGTTTACAATTAAATACAAGGTGATCCATTTAAAAAACATGAGTTTGATTAATTCTGAAGTTATGGATCACTCTGTATAATCGAAAATAATTTTGAAATGTACAACTTTTGTAAATATAGGATATATCGAACTTCCACACACTATTGGGACACCCTGTATGTACAACAAAACGTTAATATATTTAATCCAAGTATGTAATCAATTCACACTTCCATTTTCTGAAATCTATACATGGATAATTTTAAATTTTTTATGATAAATTTCTTTTTTACCAAAAATGTATTTCTTTTAGCTCATCCAAACACAATCGCATTTATGACTCACAACGGTTTATTGAGTACAACTGAAGCCATATATCATGGAGTACCTATGATTTCGATACCTATTTTTGGAGATCAGCCCATGAACGCTCTAAGAGTTCAAAAGAGTGGTATCGCTGAACAATTGAGTTTCTTAGATTTTAATGAAAACGAATTATATGAAACAATAGTGAAGGTTACCACATATCCGAAGTAAGTATTTTTCCATTATCAATATTTTGATTAAAATAAACTGCTTCGAGAATGGGCAACCACAGATTTTAAAAACTTTGTAAATACCAGGGGTTCACTGTTAATACCAAAGGAACTGCTAAACATTTTTACACTGAATTGCCAAGTTTAAGTCTAACATATCTATGACCTTTATGATTTTTTAACAAATAAGGAAGGTTCCATAAGGTCAATTGGCCCCATAAAACAATTTTTGACATTAATTTGATAGCCACTGGCTATTCTCCATTTTAAAATGGTTTACTATGAAGAATTTGATTGATATTTTAAGGTTAAGTATTAATAGTATTTTACCATATGGTTCAGATAATAAAATGTTAGAAATAATCGATTTCTACAAATTTTGTACACGGAAAAAAAATTGTAGAACAAATTTCTACAATTATACCTTTTTTCCCTACAATAAATAGTACATATAGGGACAGGGACAATTTGTAGTAAAGTGCAAGAAATATCCTCTAGTTGAACATCTTCGCAAGCTGTGGCAGGTACTGACGGGCCACCGCCTCCGCTGAGCCACTTTTTCATCTTTTGCCCATATTGTTTTCCCTGAAGGACTCTATATTTGGTCTTTTTTCTATTTTTGGTTCCCGATAGTTTTTTTCTTGTCGCGCTCATAATTTCAACCTATAAAACATAAATTTGATATGTTGAACACAGTGTGAAAAATATGTATTGTAATGACTTTGTAAACCTCATTCTTTGCAAAACTCTACGATACGCGTTTCGTTCCGCAAATTTGCTTTCGGTGTAATAAAACACTTTCAGTAAACACAAAGCGGCGGGTCCTTTTTGCCCACAAATCTCTGTTTTCTACATGTGTAAGTAAAGGGGTGCGTTAATCTTACTGGTATTTTGCCCACAGTAGCATTCAGGTACCTAAACCCGCAAATTACATCCGCCCACAAATAGGTACCTACCTGATTATTAATAATTCTAATAGGTACTTACTTTGGGTGTTTACTGTTTATATTTCAGTCAGTTTTTATACGTTGATGATTGTAATTCGAGTGTTTATAAACAATAATTATTTCTATAATGTCAGCTACATTGATTAAAAGCACACGCGGGAAAGATGTACTCCTTTTGGAGAATTTTACGTTTGCCAAAGATAGAGAAATGAAAAGTGGAGAAGTTTCTTGGAGATGCTCCCAAAGAAAAACAAATGCTTGTAATGCCACTGTATTTACAATTGGTCCTGAACTTTTAGTATCCAGAGGCAACCTAATTCATAGCCATGAAGCAAATGAACCGAAATTAAACAGGAAAATTATTTCTAATTCGTGTAAGCGAAAAGCAGTTGATGATATTTCGGAAAAACCTTCTAAAATTATCCGTAAAGTACTTGCTACTAATTTACCAGAGTCACTAACTACAATTGATGTGTCCTACATAAGAAAAACTATATACAACAGTCGTCGCAAAATACTACCAGGTCCATTACCTACAAATATACAAGAAGTGCATGATGCAGTTGACTTATATTCTAATACATTTAAAACCAGTAAAGGTGAACATTTTCTTTTAATAAATAGCAGAGAAAATAATATTATTGTATTTACATGTGAGACAAATATTCGTACTTTGTGTAAAATGAACGTCTTGTATATGGATGGAACATTTTCGTATTGTACAAAGTTTTTCCTACAATTATTTACCATTCATGGGCTGTGTAATGGACACTATGTGCCCCTGGTATATTGTTTATTACCAAACAAATCTACCGATATATACAAACATTTGTTTTCGTTATTGCATTATAAAATTTTGGAAACTTACAGTATTCATAAGGCGTTAATTTATATGTGGCCTAATACTGTAATCAATGGTTGCCGATTTCATCTACATCAAGCGTGGTATCGTAAAATTCAGTCTCTGGGATTAATGACTGAATATACAACTAACAGTGATACCGGAAAATGGCTTAAAACATAATTTGGGTTGACATATTTAAACGCCGATGAAGTTGGAGACTGTTTTGTGTTTGAGTTAATGGCAAGTAAACCAGAAAATGCCGTTCTCGATAGGTATGCCGATTACCTATTAGAAACATATATTGAAGAAAATTCTACATTTCCTCCAAGTATATGGGCAGAAAAAACAGCTTCAATTACAAGAACTACAAATGCCTGTGAGTCGTTTCATTCAAGGTTTAATTCTTCATTCTACTGTACACATCCTTCTGTATATATTTTTATAGAAAATCTTAAAGACTTTTAAATCGACACGTATGTCACAATACAAAGCTTAAGTATACCTAAGAAAATCAAAGACAAAAGTGTAAAACAAAAAATTCAGTGTTTAGAAAAATTTATACAGCGATTTGATCTGCAGCAAATCAGCAGATTAGAATATATAAAATTTGTATCACATTTATCCCTCCCAGTTGAAAAATATGTAAATAAAATATAAATATATAAAAAATATAATATAACTTATGTATACTTACTTTTTTATAATAATAAAAATTAGTGTTTAATATAATTTTTAGTTTAATTAATAATGTGTTTTTACTTTTCGATAATATATAAAAAATAATAACTGAAAGATATATCTATTATGATTTATTCAGTTAGAAATAAATTTGGGCAAAATACCAACAGGATTAAGATGACCTTTTACTTGCTGTGGGCAAATTACCTATAGGATTAGCAGCTTTAAATATTTTGTGGGCAAATTACCTCCGCCCACACAAAGTACCAATAACTTGAAGAACAAACTTTTTCAAAAATGAAAAGCACAATAAATTTAGATTGTAGCTTTATTCCTTTATATATTATCCTAATTGCAGGTAGTTAACTGCTTTTCACAAATCAGATATTTTGTTTTCCCCAAAGCAAGAATCATTCTAAAGTAATTAGAAGGATTTCTTACTAAAAGAATTATGGATTATGACAGGTAGTACAAAAGGTGCCTAATATGCTTAACACGTATTTAATTTTGGGAATTTTTAGTCACTCAACTTTTTGGGCAATTTAAAACTTATCCGATTATGGATTAAGCAGGCAATAAGACCCAATAAACACTTAACCTGTTTTACACAGATAGAATTCAAATAAATTTTGATTATCTATGAATTGATTTCAAAACTCTATGAAAAAAAAATTATTTTACTATTTGCCACCCTCTGAATTTGCCGCCCTCTGAATCCGGGGCTGGCTGAAATATTGTAATATTTTCGAATGTAATTTATACTTGTTTTCTTCATTTTTAGTTCGAAAGAAAACAGAATTAATTATTAAATAACTATTTTCCAATCAATTAGTCACAAAATTGCATTCCAGGTACAGACAATAATCAGAATCAAAGGCAGAAATATTTCGATTTTGAACATGTACTTAATTTTAAAGAACATCGTAAAATATTAATAATTTAAGTATAAAAAACCTTTCAGTTTTCTTATGTCTACTATTTTCAATGGGTATTAGATACTCTTGTTACAAAAATAAAGGTTCCTTTGAATAATATTTGTTATATGCCTGATAATATTGAGGAATCTTTGGAAATTAGTTAAGATTTTCTCTAACAGGCTGAATGTCAGTTTTTAATAGTATTGTCTCTATTTTAATAGTTTTTCTTAATTTTCAGATACAAGGAAAAAATTCAATTAATGTCAAAAATGATCAAAGACCAGCCGTCTAAACCTTTAGATCGAGCAATGCATACAGTCGAATATGTCCTTAAATACAAGCCAGGACAATTGTTAAGAAGTCCCTCTTTAAGTTTATGGTGGTTCCAGTTATATTCTTTTGACGTCTTACTATTTATTTTTATCTTCATTGTTTCATTCTATTTATTTTTGTCACTAGTTTTTAGAAAATTGATTTTCAGCTCGAAACTAAATAAAAGAAAAACTGCTTGAATACTATTTTTTGTTTTAACATTTTTTCCTACACAATTTATTTTTTAATAAATTCTTTTCTTGATATGGAAGGCTACGTATTAGAAACATAATATTTTAATTGCTTCAAATAACTCCAAACAAAAAGTATTTTTTTAACTTAGTTGAAATAAAAAAAAAAAACATTTCCGGTAAAAGCGGAAGTGGGTCATTTTGTTTAACTACAAATCTCAACTCAAAATTATGTCTTATCAGTTTGTTCCAAGTTTGATTTAAATCTTTTTCTTAAGGACAGCGTCTCCTAGGAATTTCTGAACAAAATTATGTCAATTTAGATTCAATCATTGTATAAAGAACTAAGTTCTTTATACAATGATTCAATCAAGGAGGTGCTGTTACCTACCGACTAGAGATTGAATTAGTGCAAACTATTACAGAAATCTTTAAGTAACTATAAATATCGACCGACTAGCTATTAGGGGATATTGTATTATATTGTATTATAAACCGGTTTTTAGTAGACTGAGTTCCAAGGATCATAATAATAGTCCTGAACATAAAATCTATTTTTCAATAATTGCCGGGATTTTACCAAATAAAAAAAAAATATTTCGCGATTGTGAAAACGGTCCAATCGTTTCATATGCCATTTATAATATTATAAAAATGTTAACTCTAGGACTCATTTTGGAGTATGAGCATACTTTATTTCAATACTTTTATTCATAAAGTATTACCTACCTATTACATTTTATTTTTAACGAAAATTGACTTTGTTTCCTGGACCAAAGTAAAGAATGTAGGTAGGTATTATGCAGATGGCAACAACAAAAACGATATCTTGCCTCGCATTAAATATAAATATTTCCTAAAACAAATAATTTGGTTTATATACGGGTAGCAATACGAGGGATGTTTATAATTTCAATTCACGAATGTAGAGTCGTTTCAAAATATATTGCCACAATAATTGCGTCACATTGAGTCGGAGTGGGACGCTTGACGTGTCGCAATTCGCAATATATTTTAAAACTATTCTACCTAATTAATAAATTGTGATTTTGAAGTATCGAATGAAAACTATATTCTCATTGGTTAAAGATGGAAGTTTTTGTCATTTGAATGTTCAGGAATATTAATTGTGATTAATTGGTTAAATACCGAAGTTATCTGTTATCTGATGTTGGTACTAACCTAATGTTTTTGGGTAATTTTGACGGTCATTTCCTGGAATTTCCAGGCCCGCATAAATATTTATCCTATTAAAGTACAAAAACCCTACAATAGATATTATGAGTAGGTATTTAACATTCATTTATCTTATCTTATCTTATCTTAGGTAGTTATTTCCTAGAAACATTTCCCTGATTGTCAATAACACATTACCGTATATCTGTGCCAATATGACGTCACGACTTTTAATATACTTAATGAAGGTTGGGGGAAGGAGTTAAGAGTCTATACATTTACAAACAAGCTTACGGGTATTTAGTTTTCAAAATTACATCACACGTTTCTGAAGTGTTTTATTGTGCTGTTTGTTTTTAATAAGTGTTATTTTCTTTAATAGAAAAATGATTTATTTGTGCCAAGTGTCCTAGTGAGTTTCATTGTACATTTTAATCAGTTTTATTTTTGGATAAATTGACATCGACTTCCTGCATTAAAGGTAGGTAGTATTTTTTTTCTATCACTCTCGAGTTCGTCATTGAATAAAAAAATTAAACGCTATAATTTTAACATTCAAATATTTGCAATTAAAAAATAATATTACGTATTAAATTTGACAATAAAAAAACTTGTTATTTAATAATAATGTTTCATTATTCTGAATATATTTTTTCTACGATCAATATCCAAAGTAGGTAGGCTTTTGCACATTAAAATCTAAATAAAAAGTTGACGTTTTCTGCGAATTGTCATAATTTGACATTATTGGCGCACATTACCTAATATTCAAACCCATTTCCATGCTTAAAAATAGAAGATGGTGACATTCATTTAAAAGAAAACCATAACTACTTTTACCAGGTGAAAAATTTCATTATGTTAAAATAATTCATGATTTTTAAGAAATGTGCTAGAAATGATACTACAATATTAATATTCTTTTTATGTTTGATTTTCTAATAATGATTTTATATACTTTTAGATTCAAGGACAGCTAGGTATAGCTCAAAGAAAATTGTGCTACTTTGTAGTATATACTGGAGATGAAAATCCACTATTTGTTGAAAAAATTCATTTTCAACCCATTTTTTTTTAAAATATGGTTGAAAAATTAGAAAAATTTTACTCGGAATATATGGCACCTGAGATAATTTTAAATAGAAGAGGACGAGGATTAAAATGTCTGGATACCCCATATAATGAAACTTAAAGTGCAAAGATTAGCAAATTTATAAAAATTATAATTTAATGGACTTTAATGATACAAGTACTTGAAATAATGGTTTTTTTTGCGCAGAAGCATGTTCATACGTAATTTGCAATTGGTAATCACTAAACACAGATGGAAAAGTATATACGTCAACGATATGTTCTCTTATTTTTGATTTATTTTAACAGGTATAATATATGGTATATTACTTATAGTATAGATTTTTTTATTTCTCGACCTAATTTATTTGTTACGTCTTCAGCAATTGTCGCTTTCAGTTGACATAAACGAAATTGATAAAAAGTGTTTTTCGCATTTTATTTTGACTGTTTCTCTTACTTTCGAATAGAAACTGAGCTTTGTAAACATAAAATGACGGATATGTCAAACTAAAACTGACGGTAAAATGAAACATTGAGTATCGTTAAATGCAACTTTTGAACTAGTTTCAAAAATAGCATTAAAATGATATTATCATTCACAATGTACTAATTTCCTATACTTTTAGTTGATAAATAACCGATAATCATACATCATATAACAAATAGGCGCGTGTCAAAAGGTCAGAAAAAAGAGTGCCGATGAAAAAAGGTCGTTTCCAATTGTATCGTATAAACAGTATCAGAGGCAGTATTATCATCTCGTATATCCCCCGTAAACACACTTAATATAAACGGAAATAATCAAATACTAGTCAAAATATTATCGATCGGAGCACCATCTTTATTACATTACATGAAGTAATTATTGATTTTTCGGGGTTTATTTAGAGTTAAATTAGACGCCATTTTTGGTCCAAATTCGTTTTGACATGTTCTTTCAAAGAAAGTGACTTATAAATTTCAAATCTACACGTTTTGAAAAATATACAATATTTAAATATTCTGAGTGTACCAAATTCCAAGTAAAGGTTGAACTTAGGTCGTATTACATTTTTTTTTTATTATTTGTTTGACATCGAGGTTAAAATAATTCTAGACGGCACCTTTGAGATGAAATAAAAGGGGGTTATTTTACATGATTGGTTTTTATTGAAAATAATAAATTTATTAATTTTCAATAGTAAGGTGACCTAAGTTAGACCTTTATTTTTAATTTGGCCAAAAATTAGATTTTTAAACACTACATATTCGGAAAACTGTCGATTTAACTTTTGGTCTACACATACAATTTTAATACACAGGGATACCCCGTCCTTAATAAAGAAGATATTAATATGGCTTTATTCTGAGTTATGAAACAGTATCGTTAGATAAACAAAAGATCACAAGAATTCTTTAAATTCAACATGATTATCTATATTATTTTTGAAAGAATGATATTGCATTTTGTTCATTGTAAAATAGTGCTTATCAACAATCAAAAATCCCATTTATTCGTAGAGATAAGTAATTATAATTATTATAAATAAATTAGACTATAATAAAACAGATAACAAATTAGACAAGTCATTTCAATTAAAAAAAATGCTTGCTTAAGTATACAACAATAATTGAGGCATAATAAAAGTTATTATTGTTATTAAAATACTAAATTTTTATTAAAAATAAAAGTGTGATGGGATGCGACGTCTATGACTATGATTCTTACCTCTAATGTAAACATACAAGTGAAATAAAACTTTAGGATTTAAATAATTCAGTTTTTTGCACATTAAGCGGTGTCGAACTATATTTGTCTAAATCAATCAAATTAAAATAGACAATAAGTTAGATGAAATTGAAACACTTAGTAAACTTATCAATTTACCTGATGTAACTGTTCTTACAGAGTCGTGGCTTTCTCCTGGTGAGGAAAACTATTTTAATTTGCCAGATTATAATGCAATTTATAAATCAAGAAATTAAACGGAAGGTGGAGTTGGCATTCTAGTAAAAGAAAGCTACAATTTCACAGAAATTGACAGGTTAAGTGAAAAATGTTCTATGCTATTTATAAGATTAGAACAAAGGAACTTTGTTATAGGCGCTATATATACGGCCATATGCACCATTCTTCTATTAATAGTTATCGGAGAGTTAACAGTTAACTACATAACCGACTGTTAAATTGACAATTTTGTATTCACCATTACAAAATATGACTACCAATCTGTTAAATGCGTTGTTAATGTAACAAACCAAATTTGGCCTGTCAATTTTACTTACCAGACGGTTTTATTTTTTCTTGTTTGTTTTGAAGGGTTAGATAAGGTTTTATTAAATAATAGGTATGAAGAGGTTAAATTTTGATTTAATATCATCATCATCATCATCGGAGAGTGATGTTGAAATTCCACGAGTTCGAATGGTGAGGCCAAGAAATAATATAATTGAAGAGCTTGATGAAAAAGACTTTAAAATTAGATTTCGTTTAAATAAACAAACAGTTCGGGTACTGGCAGATTTATTGGACGATATTGAAGAACCGACCAATAATAGAAACCAACCAGTATCAAAAATAAATAAAATTTTAATAGCCCTCAGATTTTATGCCACTGGGACATTTGAAATCAACATAGGTGATTTGTTTTTTGTTTCACAATCTACAGTCTCAAGAATTATTTATGAAGTGACAAGAAGCATAGCAGCACTTCGTCCCCGTTTTATTAAAATGCCAGAAACAGATGAAGAAAAAAGTCAGGTAGTTTTATCATTTTACCGTGTGGCTAGGTTACCTGGTGTTATAGGAGCACTAGACTGAACCCATGTAAAAATTTTATCTCCAGGAGGAAATAATGCAGAAGTGTACCGTAATCGGTATTAATACCCAAGTTGTTGGTAATGCAAATCTACAAATTATTGATATAGTGGCTCGTTGGCTTGGCCCAGTCGATTACACAACCATTTTTAACGACTCTCTGATAAGAGTCAGGTTTGAAAATAATGAGTTCTACCCATATATTCTCATTGGAGATGGTGGATATCCTTGTAGGGTATATTTATTAACACCACTAATAGATCCTCAAACTCAACCTCAGCAAAGCTATAATACTGCACAAATTCGATCAAGAAATACTATTAAACGTTTATTTGGAGTATGGAAACGAAGATTTCCATGCTTGTCATTAGGGATGAGAATAAAAGTGGAACGTGCATGTGAAGTTATAGTAACAACTGCAGTTTTACATAATCTTTGTAGGCAAGAAAATGATATAATAGACGATTTGCCAGAAGTAGATGCAGACATTGCTAATATAGGGATAGTGCATTATGACCCTTCTCTACGACGAGATGAAAATACAGCTACTAGAGACTCCTTAATAAACACTATTTTCCAATAAATAAAAAAAAATCAATTAAAATGTACCCGTCTTATTTTCTTATTAAAAAACATTTATTTTCTTTACTCAAGTTTTAATTTAAACTGAACAAAAATATTTTTATTTGAACACAATTAAAATAATCAAACAATAACAAACCAGCATTCTCTGTACATATTTTATATACCTATATATATTTAAAAAAAAACATTTATTCTAATAAAAAATATCGCAATGAAAATACAAAACAAACTTATAAACTAAAGGAACACAAGGCAAAAAATATCACTTTTTGTGAGATCAAAACTATAAAAACAAAATAAAAAACTAATAAAAATAACACAGAAAGACAGATAAAATATTTAAAAAGGTTAAATCACTGATTTAATAAGAGTTTCTCATACTCTGCTTGTTTAATTTTTAATTAGATGTTTCTTTATTTGACAATTTCATTATCCAACTTTTTCCCTTTCATTGTTTCTATCTCACTTTCCTTAACTAGGTTTAAAATGTCCATTTTTTTCTTTAATACTTCACACTTTTTGTTTAATAAAACTGTAGCAGGAGATCTCCGAGTCTGATTTGTAGCAGGAGATCTCCGAGTCTGATTTGTAGCAGGCGATCTCAGAGTCTGATTTGTAGCAGGAGATCTCCGAATCTGATTTATACCAGGTGCTTTAATAATATTTGAAACCAACTTTTGTTTTTTTTTTTTTAGGAGGTTCCACAGTTTCATGAGCATCGTTATTAATACTATTCATATTATTTTCGTCCACATTTTGCAGAGGCGAATCAGCCCTAATAGAAACTGGGAACGCATCTATTGAACAAGAGGGGGTGTCTTCTCCAGTACCTTCATCTACAATAAAAATAATATTTTCCTCTTCTTTATTATAGTTGCTGGGTCCAGATTCTATAACGGTCGAGTTACTATCAAACCTATTCTCTATGGAAAAATAATTTTCCTCCAATAACCCTAAAATTTTACAATCAAGGTAGGTAGTGTTTTCAGTAAAATTTCCACCTCCTGTTTTGTGTAGTTCGACCTAAAACATTAAAGTTCTCTTAACTATTATAGTAATATTATTACATAGGGGTTGATAAAGGAAAAGTAAATTTCTATCTATGAATATAATTTACTAATAATTTTAAAGATACCTTGTCCTGGGCTTTGTGTTGCTTTGCATTTTTTTTTCATTTGTTCATATGTACTCCTCAATTGCAGGCCGGTTCGTAAACCACTGGTTTGATTGGCGTTGAAATCCCACGCCAATTTCTCCCAGCATTCATTTTTTTGTTTATTATAAACGGCATTAGTTTTTTTATTTTCAATAATGTGCAAGTTTTTTTGTACCAAGGAAATTAAAAATTCCTTTAATTGATTATGTTTTGTTAAATGATGGATACTCCAGTAATTTGGCTGTTATTGATTACTGTTTAAGCGATCATAAAATACAGATATTGCAAGAAAAACAATGCAATTCAATTAGCAATGAAAAATATTATAAATGTTTTGAGTTAAATAAGTTAGCATGGAGAAGAGATCTTCAAGGTATAATTAACACTGTGTGGCAGGATCCAAATGTCCTATGTGATCAAATAGTGAGAACAGTCCAAAGCAATACCACCTGTAGGACATATAAAGACCGTTTTAGAACTAAAAGTTGTCCATGGTTTAACATTCATTTGCATAACCTAATCAAGCACAGAGATACGTGTTATAAAAGGCATAAGTTTTTTCCCAATAGTGCTCTGTTTCACAGTGAATACAAGAACAGTCAAACTATCTTGAAAGCAGCTATATCTAATGCAAAAAAACAATATTATCACAATCAGCTAACAAGTGCCCTAGGTAATCCAAGAAAAATATGGTCAGTGTTAAACTTGTTAATTCATAATAAAATATCAAAGCAATAAAACACAGGGAATAAACTGCAAGTAGAAGATGACTCTATAGAAGTTCCTAAGAAAATTGCAGATATTCTTAACATTCATTTTACAGAAATAGGTAAAGCCTTAACAGAAAATATACCAGAGTCTACTCACACGAAACTTACAATTATAAACCGTCAACAACTACATTAATAGGAGTTAACTACCCCTCAAGAAATCAACAAAGTAATTTTAGAGTTAAAATCGAGAAAAGCCTGTGGTGCTGATGGTATCTCTGAGGACTTGATCAAACATTTTAAAAACGAGATATCGGTTGTTTTAAGTAACCTAATAAATTTAACTTTCACTCATGCTTCAATTTCCAATGGACTAAAAGTAGCTAAAGTTTAAACATTATTTAAAGGAGGGCTAAGAACTTCCACTAATAACTACCTACCGATATCTCTATTAATTTCTGTAGTAGGATGAGGTGGCTGGTGGTAAGTAAAGCACGTAGGTTATGGTGAAAAACACACTTTAATATTGGAACAAGAACTAACAAATTATAACTAAGAACGAGGAACGAGTAAATGATGTAACTATATAATTGAGTGTTTATTCGCGCAAATGTGAATGTGAGGATTGTTCGTATGTATGCACTGGAAGACCGGCTGTACTGTTTGTATGTTTAAACCACGTGTGTATGTGTCGTGTGTAGGTACACAATGTATGTCCGAGCTGACTACCGTCTTACGCAATCGCGCTAGACCAACTCTCTTCATACGCGGTGGACTCCACTGACTCCACAGAACACTCGCCACCTGGCGTAGTAAAAAGTAGTCCCAGACAAGATACTCTACTCTCATTTGCTGTAACTTCAGTGTCGAATCCAGTGCCAGTGGCGTAACATTAAAATATGGTAACCATGTTACCACAATTTCTATCTCCAAAGTCCTGGAAAAATGTATTAATCAAAAGCTTGTTTCCTATCTGGAAAAAAGAATTTTTGGTACAAGGGACAGTGTGGTTTTCGTAGTGGAAGTAGCACAACTTTGGCAGTCACAGATATGATTACCAACATCAGACATCAAGTGGATAAGGGCAATGCATGTATCATTGTTTCACTTGATTTAAAGAAGGCGTTTGATACTGTTAATCACTCAGTACTGTTATCTATTTTGGAAGAATATGGAATAACAGGATATGCATTGTCTTTCTTCAGAGATTATTTCAATGGTCGTACACAGTTTGTAAGTAATTTATTAGAACAATAGTAAACAAATGAAAAGATAGAAAATGGTCGCGCCAATAGAATTCCTGCCACTGATCTCTGCTACTAAAGAATAAACTTCAACAATGACACCGCGCTTTAATTACAATAATAATTGAAATAAGATAAGACGTGCAAATAGTAACTATAAAATGATTATACATGGTACTTAGTTTCTAGGCCTATTATATTAACTATATGTGTGTTTTGTTTAATGGCCTTGATCACAGTTCATTTAGCTAATGTTGAAACAAACCAAAAACTATTTACAATTTCCACAAATTATTACATTGCAATATTAATGAAGGAACTTACCGTCTAATATATAAAAAAATCATTTTTTATAACTTACCAAGAGGTGAAATAATATACGTTGCCAAGCCTGACTAATTTTGAAATTTTTAAAAATCTTGAGCAACCATTAAAAATTTTTTTTTAGCTGTTCTTTGATGGGGGTTCTTAAAACATGATAAATTAACATATTTTCGTACGAGACTCAAAAAAAAATGCGCAATCCTACTGTATACATCCTTAAAATTAGCTCGTTGAGGGAATACATAGGAACATTTACATGCAGTTCCGTTTAGAAGAAACAATTTTTAAGTCACTTCCGATATAAACAAATTTTCCTGGAATATCTATATTCATTTATAGCTTGGATGAATTGGTTTGGGACAGTCTTTATAAATTCTAAAAGGATACACTTAAAAGCGCACTTGCACGCACAGTACTTAAGTATTACAGAAAAAGTATAAACAAATAGGTATCAATTATAATTTACAATTTATAAATGTTTGTTTTTGTAATTTTTAGGTACGGCGTTAGAAACAAAAAATAATATAGAATGTTATGTATTTTGATAATATAATAAATATTTTTTTTAATATAAACTTATAAGCATTTTTTTTTTTGGGGAAATCAGGTAGGTATAGTTATCAAAACTACCCTATTCTTGTGTTTGTTCGAATTTCTAAAACTTAATGTTAACCGTCCGAGAACCAGTGGAATAGTTGAATTCCAAATTCGAACTGTCCACTGGTCAACTAGTCCTCTGATAGTTCTCAATGGATTTGTGTAGAACCCGAACAGACCTTGTGAATATAAATTTTAGAAACATGTGCTGTTGGTTTAATACTTTGTTCAATTATCTTTATTTATATGAATTATTTATGAATACCGCTGATGTTAAATTGAGCCTATGTCACAATTATTACATAATCATAGTTCATTATATCCTACTACTTAAGATAATATCTATAAATAATATAAAGATATAAAGTAAATAACAAGTTATTTGTCGTGTTATTCTTGAAAATGCAGTACTTTTATGTGCTCCCAATATTAATAATACTGTTTAATATTGCAAGCTGTGCCAAAATTTTAGGAATATGGCCCACTCCTGGACACAGCCAGTTCATTTTGGGTCAAGCGCTTATGGCAGAATTGGCAAGAAGAGGACATGAAGTGAGTGTAATAAGTGAATTTGAGCCGAAGGAGAAAATTAAAAATTACGAAACAATCAAATTGCCAAAAACTGGAGGATATGAGGGTTGTAAGTACCGACTTATAAATATATCATTGTTTTGAAATAAGTTGATAATGGTGTTAATAGATTTAGGCTTTGTGTATGTCAAGTGTTAATACAAAGTTTCAGTAACTGTATCTTATAATTTTTCTGCAAACAAAATTCTTGATATTCGGTTGGTGAACTTCATTTTGATATAACCATGGGTACAGTTAATGCTAAAACTATCTAATGAAATGCAATCTTGATCAAGTTGCACCTTACTGTCGACAATCCTGATTTTTTAAAATATTTTTTATTGATTGACTTTGGACTCTATATCAAGCTAGTTCTAGGTCTATTGACAAATCGTAATTAAATACTTAAACTATTATTTATTAAAAATACGTACACTGTGAACAAAAACTAACATAACTTGTTAATATAGAACATCTAATTAAATAAAAAGTAATAAGCTTCTTGACCCTTTTGATTATTTGGGTAATATAAATATTTCTATATTTAATTTTTTTTCAAATGAAAATAACTTTCAAACATCAAGTTTTATGTGTTGTATTTTAAACTAAACACTACACTGAATTCATTTGCCTAATTATCAAAGTACAAGAACAATAATTTTGCCTAAAATTTTATAAAACTCTTCAGGAGAAATTTTCAAAAACAAAAGAATACAAATAAACAACCATTCTTCCTAAATAAATAAAATTAACTACAATTTACTTCTGCAATATTTGTGTTCATTATTCCTTCTTCAATATTTTCCTCAATATTTTTATCTTCATAGTCAACATCTATAATAAATCTTTCATTTGTATAGAAGTGTCCAATTCTCATATATTCTTTTTCAATTATAACTAACTTTTCATTCTTCATCTTCTTTAATTAATTCAACAACTTTTTCGTCAAATTTTGGAAAATTGTTTCTACGTCGTATCCGTTTCTTCAACTGACGCAATAAACGCAATAATATGGTGGCAGCCTTAAGACGGTATGGCCATATTCTTAAACAATTCCATCCACAGCTTACTGTTTGTCTTGAGTATTTCTAAAAGATTAACAGTTGTAAAAAATTGTTGTCAGTCCAATAGAAGGGCCAGGTCCAAAAAAGTATTTGGTTGGCTAGTAATTCAGCAAAACAGTGACCTCTGATCTATCTTAAAGTGACCATATTGTTGATGGATCCTTCGGCCAAAGCTTCGTGACAATATAGTACTAACCCCGAGTAAATTTGTGGTATATACTGGGTGACTAGTGCTTGTCTGCTATCTGCAGAGATGAGCATGTTACTTCCAATAATATTCTTTCTGGTAACTTCTTTTGTTTCCATGAGAATCACCGTGAGCTCGGTTTGAACTACACTGGCACTACTGCTCAAAGTCCATTTTATATTTGGGTAAAAGGATCTGAAGTATATTCCACATCCTCCCTGAGCCTTGTTTTGTTTTAGAAACGTTGGTGTAGATATAAGATATACATCTTCTATTATGACTTACAGAAGATTGGAGTCCATGTTTGCTTAAAGAGTGAAAGCGTATCAAGCGCTTCCTGCTAAGAGCAACGTCTCGTCTCACCACATCTTATATCAGGTTCTATTTCAATCATCCCATTTTTATGTGAGCAACCTCCTTGATGTATATATTAAGAAAAGTGGAACTAAAAATGACTTCGATGGCACTGGTTGGTGTGGTTTTTATGGTTCCTGTTATGTTGAGATATGCTGTTCCTAGAATGTGTTCTAGTTTGCGGATAGCTGTCAATTTTTGCGTTTCAGGTACCCATACAACTGTATGATATGTTAACATAGGTCTTATGTCTTTAATCCCTGGTGCTCCCCACGGTTCTGCAGCACTGTTCTTCTCCTCTCACAACCAAGCCTTTTATATTCTACACTTATGTTTACTACTCTCTTTGAGAGCATGTTATATATCTACCCACTAACCATCTGTGAAACATTCCTATTGGTCAGTAAGGGTATTATCTTGGGGAAGGTGGTCTTGTTAAAGGCACCTTCTATGTTTATGAAAACATCCAAGGAGCACTCTTTATTGTCGAAGGATCACTCTATCCAGCCAGCATTTAGAGCTGAATAAGTAGATCTGCCTGACGTATGTTTTTGTGATAGTTTAATCCATCTTTCCAAGTTTGGATATGAAGACCATGTTTACCTCTATCCATTTATGAGAAATATACCTCGGAGCCAACGAGGATCTGATAATACCTATCAAATGCGGTGCGAGTTTTACCAAATCTAACTCAAGTAGGGATGAATTGATACCGTCAAGTCCTCGTGACTTAATTGGGGAGAAGCTAGATATTGTTCATCTTTCGTATACAATGTGTTTGGCAGTTTCCAATCGTGGTTGACTCAAGGAAGATCATAGACAGGGAAGTGTGTGACAGCAGAAGTTTGTTGCCGGCTTTGAGATTTTCAATTTTCATGCCATTCTCTTTTATTAACGTACCAGTACTGTAATTAAGATCTCCCTAGAGAGTCCTTTAAAGCCTTGCTGCCTGCGAAAAATTTTAGGTAACATATTTCGCATACATTTGCTTGTTCCATCGGTTCATCCTCTCTTGATAATATCATGTATGTCATACCAAGTTTCACCTAAGTTATTCTTTTCTATATTTTTTTATATGCTTCAAATAGCTGTTATGCATGTTTACTATTCTTACATTTTGGAGTTTCTTAATCCAATTTTGAACTGTTTTTTATTCAAGTCACAAGTAGTATCTAGCCTTTAATTTATTGTCCATCATTTCAGTTAATGGGATCTCACATTATTAGCGTTTTTATTTTGTTTGCTAACGAATCGTCCAAAGTTTTATGTATCACAACATCAAAACGCTTTTTTATATCCGGAATTCCAATTTTTACTAATTTTCTTATTGATTATTTTTATTAATTAATATATTGATTATTTTTATTAATTAATATATTGATTATTTTTATTAATTAATATATAAATTCAATCGATTTTATTCAATCTTATACCACTATTTTCTTTTTTTTAGTTGATCTGCTAAATTGGCCGACATATAATCTATTTTCCTTGCAAAAAAGCCTTCTAGATGGTGGCCTCAAATATTCAGGAGCCTTATTTGAAAAAAAAATTATTCAAGAATTGATCGATTCCAATCGCACATTCGACTTGGTCATCGTAGAGAATTTTAGCAACGAAGCTCATATGGCGTTTGCCGAACATTTCAAAGCTCCATTAATTGTTTTTAGTTCACAACCTGTGAGTGACTGGAATTATCATTTTGTTGGAAATGTTAAATTACCTTCAATTAGCCCTTTTTTTGTATCACCATTTGACAAGCATATGAGCTTTTATGAAAGATTTCGGACTTTGTTATTAAGTGTATATGATTTTATCTACAAAGAATTGATATATTATCCAGGTCAACAAGCTCTTGTGGATAAATATTTTCCCAACAAAATGGACCTTAAAAAAATAGTTACAAATACAGAAATGATGTTACTGTTTTCACATCCTTTAACCACAGGACCATCTTTAACAACAAGCGCTATAGTAGAAGTAGGAGGTTTTCAAATTGTTTCTAAAAAACTTCCCAACGACATCCAAAGTGTCTTAGATGGTGCTAAAAATGGAGCTGTACTTGTCAGTTTGGGAACAAATGTAGAATGCAGCAGTTTGTCCAAGGAACAGTTCAATATGTTTTTAAACGCCTTTAAAAAATTTCCTCAAAGATTTTTGTGGAAATGTCCAGTTGAAATACCTAACAAACCCGATAATGTATATTTGTTTAAATGGATGCCACAAACAGATATTCTGGGTAAGTTGTAAGATACAATCATTTTCTTTATATCATTTGCACTTGAAGGGTTTAAATAAAAGTTTGCATATTACATTTGAAGATCAACAACTAAATTACAATATTTTTTATTAACTAATTACAACAATTAGCACAAGCTATTTGACTCAATTTGCCCAGAAACTAATTCATAGCATTTTTAATTTAGGTAAGAGAAGCCGACAAGCAATACGCGCGAGAAATGCTAATGCACTCTGACTCGCTTGGCTTTATTTTTGGTCCTTTATATCTTCCTCCAAAAGTCAAGGGAAGATTCTCGAAGCCGCATAAATATGTAACATTTCAAAGGTGTGCTAGTGTTAAGTCATAACTGCATAATGTATAAATGTACCGTTTTGCTGGATATATTGCTATTTATCAACTCGGAAGTTAATTCAGGGCAGGGTTGGCTTTAAATATTACCCAAATATGTTGGATGTACTTATCATTTTGCTTTTGAGTAAAAATCTAAGTTTAAATCGTGATTGAAATATTCGGAATCGAATCACGTAGGTACAATACATTTTATTTCTTATAGAAACCTCGAAATATATAATACAAATTCTAGCCAGTATTTCATACGTCTTATGTTATGTTGGGAATGAGGTATTAATACACTGCGACCTAAAAGATCTATTGTACCCCCTTCTGTCGTCAATGCACCAAGGAAATGTCTCAATGCCTATAACGACCCTTCCAATCCTATTTTCTCAAGGAAGTGTAGGATTTGAAGTGGCTTCAAGTTAGGTAAATCTCCCTCTTTTATTTGATATCCTCCTAGATATAGTGCCCTTGGATTCTGGAATGCTACACATTCAGTTAAGATTCAGATGTGAATGGAGGTTTCGTCTTCCTCCTCACAGAATATGCACTCACTATCCTTTACTATTCTCAGTTTACTAGGTGTCCTTTCAGTCGGCAATGCCCGGTAAGGATCCCTGTTACAATACGTAGCGTGAACTTGCTCAGGCAGATGCAGGCTTTAGATCTTTTCTAGTTATATTTACCCAGAAATATCATGGCCTGTCTCAGCCCCAACAGATTGTTCCAATTATCGGTTCTTCTACTGCCCAATTCTTTTTTAATCTCTCCTAATATTATGTTACTGCTGATACCGCAGAACGGCTCAGGTCCTACAAAGTGTGTTTGAGCCCCTTTCCTCGCAAGACTATCTGCAATCCCGTTACCCTGTACCCCGTTATGTCCCGGGACCCAAGCGAGAGTAACTCTATTTTTCTCGCCTAGCTCATTCAATTGTTCTAGGCATCTCCAGACCATTTTTGAGCTGATTACGTAAGAGCTCATCGCTTTGATGGCTGCTTGACTATCGGACATGATGATAATCTCTTGTCTATGATAGTTTCTCTCGATGTTAAACTGGATACACTTCTCGATGGCGTGAATTTCCGCCTGGAAAATGATTGGGTATTTCCCCAAGCTTTCGAAGTGCTTGGTTCTCGGCCCATACACTCCTATGGTTTTAGAACCGTCCGTATACCACTGAATAGCACGTCTCTCGGTTGCAAGCACGATGGATTCTTGGCTCCATTCTTTCTTGCAGCCCAGCTCTGTAGTTTTGAAGTTTTTCACAAAACTGTACTTCTTTAGCAGTTCATCCTGGGGCATGTCCCAGGTATCTTTGTCCTGAAGCAAGTAGACTTTCATCTGATTACTCCGTTCCTGATTATTCTATACCGTGTCCTTTCTGCCACATTCTCTATCATCAAATATCGAGGGGTGAGGTTTAAGATCACCTCCATTGCGGCCGTAGGACAGGTTCTCATTGCACCAGTAATGTAAACACAGGCCAGTCTTTGTACTTTTGAGATATTAGCTCTCGTAGTAGCTAAACTAGTTCTGTTACTCCAGGCTATAGCCCCGTAAGTGATGATTGGTCTCACTATTACAGTATACATCCATAGCAGTATGTTTGGCTTACATCCCCATCGTTTACCTGCAATGTTTCTGCATACCATTAGGGCTTTTGTGGCCTTATTTACTACTTCCTTCTCATGTGTGTTCCAGAGAAGCTTGTTGTCCAGGGTTAGGCCTAGATATTTGACTACATTTTTCCATTCTATATCGTATCCCGTCTAATTTAACGGTTTTGAGATTAAGTTTCCTTTTCCTTGAAAATGCTACTAGTGTTGTTTTTGTAGGGTTTATACTAAGTCCTACTTCACGGCACCATCTTTTGGTATGTTCTGATCCTCGTTGGACTATATTACACAGAATATTTTTAAACTTGCCTCTAGCAAATATGACTATGTCGTCGGCATAACCTTGACAGGGTATGCCGAGGTCAGTCAATCTGCATAGAAGTTCGTCTACGGTTAGACTCCACATTAGTGGTGATAGAACTCCTCCTTGTGGACATCCTCTGGTTGTGCAGATGGAGATGGTGTTCTGCCCTATCTGTGTCTCTGCAGTTCTCGTAGATAACAGCTGAGCCATCCATCTGGATGTGATGTTATCTACTCCTCTGTATGCAAGTGCTCTTTTCACAGATTCGTGTGGCGTGTTGTCAAAAGCTCCTTCTATGTCTAGGAAGGCACACACGACCGTTTCTTTGTTTATCAGTGCATCCTGGATTACGTCAGTCAACTGTACCAGGGCAGTTTCTGTAGATCTTCCTGCTCGGTGCGCGTGTTGGCTGTGGTGGAGTGGCATCCTCTCCAGGACTTCTGTTCATACGTCTTAATCGAAATGCTTCAATTTCGAAAAGGGATCTCTTTTGATCCAAGCTGACGTCAATTCAAAAAAACTGGGAAGTTCACACAAGATATTTTTATTATTAAAGCCTAGCTTAATAAAACATTGAATTAGTCACACACGACTCATTTTAAAGGCGACTGCAAACCAAGCCAACAACAACGTTACAATTAGAACGTTGGTTTTGTAGCATTATAGCTTTCTCTACTACAAGCTCTGGGAAGTACCGCTAAAATTAGGGGTTCAAGGTTTCCAGTAGTCTCTTCTTTCAGATTATCATTCAGTTTATCTTCAGATTTGGTCCTAGCTAATGCCCCATCTGTACAAACCCCACAAAAGTTTTTATCTTCACTACTGGTATTAGGCATTAGGAAAACAGGAATTATCCGGTATTTCATCGGGAAGCAGACAGTGTTCTTCTGGCATTATAACTTCTTCTTGTGTAAGCTCGGGGAAGTACGGCTAAAAATCCTTTTTAAGGGATTCAAGGTGTCCATTAGTTTCTTGTTTTGCATTATTATCTGGTTTATCTTCAGATTCAGTCCTAGGTGATGCCCCATCTGTACAAATATTACATAAGTTTTTATTTTCTCCGTGATATTTTCACAGGAATTCTTTGATGTCATCTGAATGAATATATACTGCTTAAGTCGGTTTTGATCTCCATGTAAAATTTAAGTAATAATAATTACAAGTCAGTATAATAGTCATTCAATTCCACAGGGTGACAAAGGGTTCTTCTTTAAACGAAGAAAATATATGTAAGAGGAAACATTTAAACCTGAACATAGTGAACATTTGTGTTGTGGCTGATGATGTTCGAAATTAGTTAATTTTATTTTTTGACTGTTTGTTTTTTTCGTTTACGGATTATACCACATTTGTATCATTCATAATTTGCTCAGTCTTAAAATATATATATTTCTTTTAGCTCATCCCAATACAATTGCATTTATAACTCATAACGGTTTATTGAGTACGACCGAAGCAATTCATTATGGAGTACCTATGATTTCCATTCCAGTTTTTTGTGATCAGATGCCAAACGCAATTAGAGTTCAGAAAAATGGCATCGGCGAACGGTTGAGTTTCTTAGATTTAACCGAAAATGATTTGTATGAAGCAATAAAGAAGGTTACCACAAATACATCGTAAGTATTTATTTCTGGTCTTTCTCGGGGTAGTTAGCTATATTATTTACACTTTTTAGTAAAGTAGAACTGAAAAATGAATTTCAGTGTAAGAAGTAAGGTCTATTAGACTGAAATACATTAATTTAAAACCTATTTAATTTATTGCCGATTTATTGCCAAATTATTGCCAATTTATTTCCAATATATTCCTACTTTATTGTTAGTTTATAACTAATTTATTGCTAGTTTATTGTAAATTTATTACAATTTTTGCTCTATATTTTACTCATTAATTTAAAATGTATCGCTAATGTTCTGCTAATGTATTGCTAATTTATCTCCAATTAATTGCTTATCTATTACTAATCTATTATTAATTTATTGCTAATTCATTGCCAATATATTTCTACTTTATTGTTAATTTTTAACTTATTGCTAGTTTATTGCAAATTTATTACAATTTTTGATCTATATTTTACTGATTAAAATTAATTCATTGCTAATTTATTGCTTATCTATTGCTAATATATTACTAATTTATTGTCAATCTATTGCTAATTTACTGCTAATTTATTGCTAATTTACTGCTAAGTTACTGCTAATTTACTGCTAATTCGTATTTAATTTCTTGCTAATGTATTGCTGATTATGCAACTATGTAAAAGTAGCTCATTGTAAAAATATATAAATGTATATATTTAAAATCAATTTAATGCGCAAAAAATCAAATAATTTTACACATTTTTCTGTTGTGTACTTCTTCTATATGCAGCTTAAAAGACTCGTTGTACTGAAATATTCTTTTGACACTAGAAATAATAACTTTAAGTTGCACTATATCTTGTATACTTATGCTGCATGATTTTTTATTTTTGTCTCATTTTATTATATTATCTGAATAATAGTTTTTACTTGTTCTAATGATATAGAGTTGTTTTAAGTGTGAATTTCAACAATTTGTGTGGGCATAAAGTGCTAAATGATTTAAAGCATAAAATAGAAGATAAAATAAAAAGAAAATCATAAATAATTATAAATGAAGAAGATAAAAAAGATTGTAATATCTTTTCGTCTTCCATCTCTCTAATTTCTTTGATTTTTTTTAATATTTAACAAAATACCTTCTTCTGGGTAATTATTTATTAAAATCAGATCATACGTGTAAAGAGTCTTACACGAATAATTACTCTTCTTTTTTCAAATACTACTTTTTTTCTATTTGTTCTAACATAATAAGTAACTACATTAACTGCTAAAACCTTATCTTTATCTTGCGGTATATCCCGTCCGCATATAAATAAATGAAATACTTCTTACAGTCTGTTCGCTATACTTACGCGGGTTTCGGATTAACAAAATTATACAAATTAGTAATTGACAACCAGTACCAATAAGCCTCTTCCCAAGAAATTAGGTAATATTGTCCTAATGGTCAGATTTCAATTAAAATAACATTAGGGTAGGTACTAAATGTGTTACAAATATTGCAGTTGAATTGATTCTTTGCAAGTGTTGACATTGTATGTATATTGCAAATTTAGTGGACATTTTAAAAATGCCTAGACGTGTGTTAGGTGTAGATAGTCTAATTTGTAGTGTACATAAGTATTTTACGGATGAAAAAGAAAATGGCGGTCCTTTGAAATCGGTAATGTCTGTACAACAACGCGTATGCGATGCTCTAGGAATTAGTGAAACCAAATTAAGAGGAGTATTACAAAATCACAATAGTGAACTGCCGAAAGAAGATCACCGCAAAACTCGCCCATCATTGAAAACGAAAGATATTCCAGATGGAAAGAAATTTGAAATTCGTGATACCATTTATCGAATGAGGGCCAACAAGGAACATGTGACCTTAAATACAATTCTCTCCGAATTAATAGATAGAAAATTTGACGACATTGACAGAACAAGTCTATGGCAAGTGATACATAACTTGACTTTCAAATTTCAAATGGAGGATAACAGAAAGGCCCTTTGTGGAAGAAGTTCTGTCGTGCACAAGAGAATTAACTTTCTAAGAAAATATTCTAAATTTAAAGAAGAAGGGACGAATTTTATATATTTAGACGAAACATGGATATTTTCTAGGGGTGCAACCAAGAGAATATGGCAAGATGATAACGTAAAGTCCATCAAACATACCGATGGAGAAGGGAAGCGACACATAATTTTAGATGCAGGAGGGAAATCGGGTTTCATAGAAGGTGCTGATTTAATATTTTCATCTAAATTAAAATCCAGTGACTATCACGATAATATGAACACAGAAATGTTTGTAAAATGGTTGCATGAAATAAAATAAACGAAATAAGTCCAATCATAATAACAATTAATGGTGATGACAGTGATGATGATGACGATTATGATATTTTGGATGATAATGACTGATTTTCATTTTTGTTCTCCAGTTCAATTTTTTTATTTTTCATTTGAAATTCTCTACATGGAAAAATTTTTTATTTTAGCTAAATAACCCTCTTATTATACATATTTTCTCTGTGAAGTGTAATATAAAATTATTATTAGGTTTATAATAGCTACATTAGACTCCATTAATGAAGAACTTTAATTCTGCTCTCAATTATACAAAAGATTCTCTATTATTATTTAATTAAAAAGTTGTACATTATTTTTCATTTCATTTAACCAGTTGATATTTCCCCAAAGAACAGGTCAAACTTTCGGGTACTTGCTTGGAAATACTCACAATATTTTTAATCCGAAACTCGCGTAAGTATAGCGAACAGACTGTATCTGCGGTCCCCTCATAATCTTTTTAACTTTCCGCTCTTTTTTCTTTCTAACCTAACCTAACATTCTCCTCTTTTTATTCGTAATCATCTGGCCTCTTACGAAGAATGGACATTGTTTTTTATTGACAAAACATACAAAAACATTAACTCTTGTTACCATTAATTGCCTTTAAAAACGAATTGCATCTATCGGGTTTAAAGTTTTATCTAGTTCAGCTTTGCACTAAATTCAAACCCGGTTCCTGATCCTATAAAAAGAAGGTATGATATTACGCAGATTGATACTATACGTCATGGTGACGCATTGTGGTGGAAGGCGCGGCTTTTATGAATTTGACATATTAACTGATCGGCCCATGACCAATCAGATATTCCACACCACAATACGTCATGCGCGAACTCTCTAGTTCTGTCCTACACTTATTTATTGAATACTAGTTATGTTGGTTGCCTAATCAGTAGGATACATACAGCAATCAGAATAGAAATAATAAAAAGGCGTACACAATTTTAGACCCATTTTTTGACTTATTTAAAAAAATAGACTTGATTTTAATAGTTTTTTCTAATTTTCAGATACAAAGAAAAAATGCAAAGGGTGTCAAAAATGTTCAGAGACCAACCATCAAAGCCTTTAGATCGAGCAATGCATACAATCGAATATGTCCTTAAATACAAGCCAGGACCCTTGCTAAGAAGCCCGGCTTTAAGTTTATGGTGGTTCCAACTATATATGCTCGACGTTTTATTATTTATTTTTGTATCTATAGTCTTATTATATTTGTTTATATCAATAATTTTAAGGAAATTAATGTTTAGCAAGAAACAAAATAAAAGAAAAACTGCTTAAATACTATTTTTTGTTTTAGATTTGTGTTCTAAACAATTTTTTATAAAAAAAAATATTCTAATTGCTTCAAATAACTGGAAACAAGTTATTTTAGTGACTGAGTTAAAAATAAAACTAAATTTATAAAACGTGTTTTTTTTACCAAAATCTTACTTATTTAAATGGCACCTATTAAGATCCATTTCACTATTAGATGACAAATTTGATTACCAATCTGAGAACATGCACCATATACAGCTTATTTTTACTGTGAAACCTAAACCTTTGTATGAAGATAATATAGTAGGATAATGCAACAGTAGAAAGTGTTGGATGCAAATTCGAGCGCCATCTACTGACGATTTAATGAAGTAGAGAAGGCAGAAATCGTCTTTCTAAAAAGTCGTCATCCAGCATCATACATTTTTTTACTTCTATTCCAGTTTGTTTCGTGTTCTTACACTTATATATAATAATGCCTAACAAGAAGTGAACTAAATATACTTACATTTAAATGTTGGTATCAGGTTGCTGAGGCCCCATTCATTTAACAAATGTTTCATTTCAATTTAATTTATTCATACACTTTTTAATTAAATCACAAAGAATTTCTAACAAAAAGTAAAACGCAACCCTAATTATACGATACAAACATGTTAACAGAAAATGAACACGTGCTAATGCCAATTTGCCAGATTCTCTATAAATGCGTTGTCTCTCTGACTTCCGAATAATAAGTATCACATCTCAACATCTCTCAACATCTACCGTATCAGTACAGTGGTTGCATTTTAAAATAAGTTTCAGCTGGCAACATCGTGCAGTGAATTTGTACTAGCTAATCTTTTGTGAAGTACAGGGTTATTCATTATAAATTACCCACCCCTTAGCATCGTTATTATTGCCCATGGAAAAAAAGTTTTAAATAAAAGTTGTGTGGTTATGACTAAATTTCGTTCAAATGCTATTAAAAATGCAGTAGCGTGCAGATTTTAGGGGATACGCAGGAATAATTTTTTTTTATTAATGGAATACCCTGTATATTATTTATTTTTTAGAATAATCCTTTCTTTCTGATTTTAAAAATATATATATTACCCCCACTGTATGCCGTTTTTTAGGTAATAAACGTCAAGTATCTTAGTTAAACTTACCCAACCCTTATCATCGTTATTATTGCCTATAGATAAAAAAGTTTTGAATAAAAGTTGTGTGGTGATAGCTAAATATTGTTAAAATGCTATAAAAGATACAGTACCGTGCAGATTTCAAGGAATACGAAAGAAAACATTTTTAATGATATACCCTGTATATTATTTAATTTTTGGAATGATCCTTTTTTTCTGATTTTAAAAATATATATATGTTACCCCTACCGTATGCTGTTTTTGAAGTATTAAACGTCAAATATCTTAGTTAAACTGTATATATGGAAAAGCTAACATTATTAAAGTAAGCTATGAAAATGACAACTATTATGATTGACAAGTGAGAATTATTTAATTAAATAAAATGGTTTACGGCGAGGAAGAAAAAGTCCAAATATTTACTTGTTATATAAAAAATAACAAAAATAAACGAGCCGCACGAAGAGATTATAGAATGTTGTATCCAAATCGTCCAATACCATCAGAAAATACGTTCAAAAATATTTACCAGAAGGTGAATAATACTTCTAGTTTTAGTAGAAAAATCCGTGTAGTTCAAGCAGGAAGAACAGTTAGATATACTGCTTCATTTCGAAGGTAAACCCATCCATATTTATTCGCGTATAGACTTTTTTGAAACATTGTTTTTTTTTTTTTTTTTAGAAAATTCTAAATGTAGTATAAATAATGCCGTCGATCAATTAGGCAAAACTTATTTCAAAATTCAACGTACAGACCATATAAAATTTTATCCGTACAAATTTTAACAGAGGAACATAAAAGAAAAAGTTTTGACTTTTGTCGCCAGATGATTCAAAAGTTGGATAAGGATCCCGATTATTTTAATAAAATATTATGGACTGATGAATCATCCTTTTCTACGGCAGGAGTTTTTAATAGGAAAAATCGAAGGTCGTGGGAAAACAAGCACAACATAAAAAGATTGGTAAAACAAATAAAAAAATCAGGAAAAAAAAACTGTTAGCGTTTGGTGTGTAATTTTTAGAAACAAAATAGTTGGGCCTATATATTACGATTATAATTTAACTGGAGTTACCTATCTGGAAATACTTATTCCAGAAGCAGAAGATATTCTTTTACAGAATTTTCCGGAAGACGAACTAGATCATATGATTTGGATGCAAGATGGAGCAACTCCGCATAGTGTCGCACCCGTTAGAGATAATTTTTATAATGTATTCCCAGTATGGATAGGGAATAATGGAACTATCAAATGGCCATCTAACAGTCTGGATTTGACCCCTATGGATTCATTTGTTTGGAGATATATAAAAGACATTGTCAATAGCAATAATGATAATAATAGTATTGAAGCCATTAAAGATAGGATTCTACTTGAAATAAACAATCTGAACATGAATAATGAAGCCATTGCCAGGGCAATTATAAATATAAGAAGACGTTATCAATTATGCATTAATAATAATGGTGGACACATCGAACATCTTTTATAAGTTATTTATATTTCCTAAATAAATCTTTGTTCTTTATTTTGTATATTTTTCCTTACTCTAAACAATTTTATTAAATTAAAGAATTGTCACTTGTCAATCATAGTTGTCATTTTCATAGCTTATTTTAATAATGCTTTTTCATATATTGGTTTAACTAAGATATTTGACGTTTAATACCTCAAAAACGGCATACGGTTGGGGTAACATAAATGTTTTTAAAATCAGAAAGAAAGGATCATTCCAAAAATTAAATAATATATAGGGTATACCATTTAAAAAAAAAATATTTCGTATTCTTTGAAATCTGCAGGGTACTGTATCTTTTATAGCATTTTAACAAAATTTAGTCATAACCACACAACTTTTATTCAAAACTTTTTATCTATAGGCAATAATAAGGATAATAAGGGGTGGGTAAGTTTAACTAAGATACTTGACGTTTATTACCTAAAAAACGGCATACAGTGGGGGTAATATACATATTTTTAAAATCAGAAAGAAAGGACCATTTCAAAAAATAAATAATATACAGGGTATCACATTAATAAAAAAAAATTATTACTGCGTATCCCCTAAAATCTGTACGCTACTGCATTTTTAATAGCATTTTAACGAAATTTAGTCATAACCACACAACTTTTATTTAAAACTTTTTTTTCTATAGGCAATAATAACGATGCTAAGGGGTGGGTAATTTATAATGAATAACCCTGTACATAGGTTTTTGATTCGAATAGTTTAATTCTTGTTCTGAAATTTAAATGCTTTGAATCGAATCCTTTTATAACATTAAATCAAGTACGCAATAGTCGGTTTTAAGAGCATATCATACTTATACTAACGTAAGAGCTTTCTTGGATTAATTCACAATTCTATATTCGAATGAAATAATTTATTCTCAGACTAATTATTATAACTCTTAAAATACAAGATTATGCCTATACTTCACTCAACATTTATTTTCATATCGTAACGAGAAATATTATTTGAAGCAAACTGCTTTATTTCAAACAAGTGTAAAGCTTTTCTTGAATGTAGATGATAATTTTTTCTGTGTATAGATTTATATCGAATGCTTTAAGAACTCTCCTTAAAATGGGAAATACCAAGAATTGATATGCTAACTTCACATGTGTTGATTATCTTCTACTATTTAAGATAATATCTAAAATTAATATAAATATATAAAATCTAACAATTTAAATTGTCGAGTTGTTATTCTTAAAAATGAAGTACTTTTATACGTTTCCAATATTATTAATATTTTTTAATCTTGCCAGCTGTGCCAAAATTTTAGCCATATGGCCTTCTAATGGATATAGCCTGTTCATTTTGGGGCAAGGTCTTATGACAGAATTGGCAAGAAGAGGACACGAAGTGAGTGTAGTAAGTCAGTTTGAGCCAAATGAGAAAATAAAAAATTATGAAACAATCAAATTGCCAAAGACTGGTGGATATAATGACAGTGGTAAGTACTGACTAAATATATTATTGTTTTAAAATAAGTAAAGTTGATAATGATGTTGATAGATTTAGGTTTGGGTTAATACAAAGTTTCAGTAGCACTATCTTCTAACTTCTCTGTAAGCAAAATTCCAGATAGTCTTCATTTTGATATCAATATAGTCATGGGCGCCATGGGCGTCGTTACACAATTCTATAGGGGGGGGGGGGGGGGCAAAATTTTTAATAAATTTAGAATGTTTATTTGTTGGAAAACAAAGGATATGAAAAATAAGAGAATTTTCTTATGATGAATTTAATTTTTCTGTGACGTCATGGCTTACAACTTTTCCAGAAATAACAGAAAATCGCAATTTTTAAATGAAAACCTTTTTTTATTGAAAATTTGAATATCTGGGACATTTTTGGGGCGTATATTAAAAATTTTCTGTAACATATTAAATAAAATATTTTCCAATATGATGGTCATTTTGACAGCTGACAGAAAATTTTCAACACATGATTCTTTTCCATAAATGTTCCCGAAATTTAAATTTTTAATAAAAAAAGGGGTTTCTATTTAAAAATAAATTGAGATTATCTGTTATTTCCGAAAAACCACAAGTAAGCCATGACGTCACACACCAATTAAATCCAGTATATGACAGTATTTGTTCTAAGCTTTTAAACAAAAAAGTTTTAATTCCAATATCTCGATTAACAACGAAGATAAAAGCGGATGGAATTATTAAACGGTTTGCTAATAATAAAAATTCTTAGATACGCCACTGGTATACGGTAAATGGATCTCAATGGGAATTTTGAAGCTTACAAAGATTTTATAAAGATCGTACATTCTGAAACGAGACAATTTACTTTTGAACATACTGTATCATGCAAAATATGATATCTAGCACGTTTAGGTCTGAGATGACAAATGTCATGAAATTGATTGTATCCATCAATTAAGAATTCGCTTCGATATTTTGTAAAGTATCTTTGAATTGTGACCACGGTAAGTTTCTTTTAGAATATAGAATAAACTTTACTTATATTATTGTTCTTTAGTTGAGGTGGTCTTATTCAAAGAAACTGTAAATATCTCCTACTTTTGCTTCTGCTGTGAGAGGGTCAGAAGGAGAGGAACAGTAGGTCAAAGGCGAACAGTAGGCCAAAGCCAGAACCACTGCACCATAGCCGTAAGTTAAGTTGTAAGAAGTTGTCCTAGATTGAGTCACTTGCCTTGTTACCAAGGATTGTCCAAAGCGCAGGATGTGCTTAATGTTCACCAGACATAACAGACAATTCTTCATAAATAATTCATAGAAAGATATATAATTGTTTTTTAGTTTATATTTGAGTAGTATCTATTAATTATTCTTTCGTTTAGATATTTTGAGTAGAATCTATTATATTTTTAGTTATAGGACTTTGTTTAATTTTAGCTAGCTAGTTTACGTGGTTCAGAGAATAACTCCTCTGAAACATTATAATTCATTGTGTAAAGGGATTAATAATTAAAATAAAAATTGTTATTTGAAATCATCTTATTTCCCACGTTTAACTTTATTCCAAAATAACCCGAAGTAAGGGTATTGTTACAATTCCTATATTTTTTCCATAAACGAATTAATAGTAACATGTTTAGAAAAAATATTATTCAATATCGCGGCCATTTTGACAGCTGACAGAAAATTTTTGAATACACGATTATTATATAAAAATGTTTAAATTTACAATAAAAGAGAGTGTTTCCATTTAACAATAAAAAAAATTCGATTTTCGTTATTTTCGGAAAAACCGGAAGTAAGCCAGGACGTCACAGAATAATTGAATCCATCATAAGAAAGTGTTTGTTCCAGTCATTCAAACAGAACAAAATTATTCAGATACCTCACTGAATAATAAAGATAAGGGTAGTAGAACTTTAGTAGTAACCCTAACAATGTCACTGACCCATTTGACAGAACTGATACTTAAGTTGTCATAACAAGTCTCTAATAAATAAAATAACCAAACAAAAAAGACAAAAACTAAAATTAAAAAAAACAAGAAACTTAAAGCACATTTTTTAAAAACAAACAGAAGGTGTGATATAAAAGAAAAATATGAACATAATAATATAAAAAATAAAAATTTATAAGAAACAAAAACATAAAAAAACTCACTCAAATATGTCAATGAATACAAAAAACACTAGGAAAACGCAAATTTTAAATTTATTTTTTCTCTACTAAAAACATTGATAACGGAAAACATAATTTATTTTTCAGTCAGCCTACTTTCATTCATTATTCACTCCGTGCATGACAGCAACGCCAACTATTTTATGAACTAACGGACGATATTTGCCTATATTGACAATACAATTTTTAATAGAGTTCGTAATTAAGAAATATATATGTTAATTTTAATTTTAAAACAAGTGAAAAAATTATTATATTTTTATTACTTCAGCTAAAAAATTCAATAAAAATTAATAATAAAACATAGGCAAGTATTTACGAGAAAATGTATGAGATCTTGCCTAAGCCTAATAAGTTGTCATTGAAGAATAGGTTAAATAATGTCAAAATAAAAATATTAGCATTATATAATAACGTGGAATTTAAACGTAATAACAAAACTAATTGGTATATTTGCGATTGTAATTTATATTTTCTTCATTTTTGGTTCGAAAGAACTAATACTATAGAAATTAATGAATAAAACGGGTTTCCTATCAATAAGTCACAAGATTGCATGTCAGCCATATACAATAATTAAAGGCAGAAATCTAATCATTTGCTAAACACTTAGGATTTAAGGGATGTTAAAGAATATCATAAAAAAATAATTTATTGCTTAATTATTACAAAAGTAAAGGTTTTTGTTATTCTTATTATACAGCTGTCCATTTATTTCTTTTATTTAATTTCGATTTTGCTACGGAACATTCATATAATTTACAGTCTTTTTGCTAGTATAATTTGCAACATAGCAACTCCGGTTGCTCATTTTATTGTTTTTACCTATTTTTTTAGTAAAAAGTAAAATGTATACGTATATTTGATACGCCAAAATTACAAAATATCGCCCAAAAATACTCGAATTATCCGCAGCTTGCGCTAGTATCCCTTTTGCTTCCCCTACCATGACTTCGCACTGATCGAATAGACCGCAGCCATGTTTTAACATGCCTTAGCGTTCCAAACATTCTTAATATTTGGACGCTATATCATTAATGAGACGCTCATTTGTGCAGAAAGCTCTTTCGTATTCCAGTTTGGTATTCAGCTTCAAAATTGTCAATTCCAAATTTTTCCACCACTTTCATTTTCTTATCGGTAGTGAAAAAAATATTTTTTATGTTTTTGGGATGTAACAGGCTTAAGGACAAACTAACAAAGTCTTCGGGAAAGCGGAACCCAGAAATGCAATAAATATACCTATTCAACCTATAATATTCTTCAACTATATTAGCCTGAATATTATTTCTAGGAGATTGTTGTTCGTAATGCATATCTTACGCGTTGTTGATTAAGTCGTAAAAGCCAGGGGGGGGCAACTGCCCCCCCCCCTTGCCCCCCCCCCCAAACGACGCCCATGATGGGCGCCCATAAGCGTTATTCCAGGGGGGGGGGGCAAAACAAAAAACATATATAAGTAAGTATATTAAATAATTTTATTAAAAAATAGTAGATATATTATATAATTATAAAAACACGTTGTTGACTTATCACTCAGAAAAAAGAAACTAAAGGTTTCTTTTGGTTTTACTATATTCATTTATAACCTTCTCTATAAACATTTCTTTATCCTTTTGAATAACTTGCCTATGAACGCATACATAAACCGTCCAAACTGTTTTCGCTTATTGTAGCTCTAATCCAAGTTTTCACTCTTCGAAGACTGCTAAATGAGCGCTCCACAGTACATGTTGTGGGCGGTAAGCATAAAGAAATTTCAATTGCTTTTGCAATTGCGGGGTAAAACTGACAATATTCTAGTAAGTCAATCATTGAAAGAACAATTCTGTTTTCTTTATGTTTCCAGAAATAGTGCCATGTCTGTTCTTCTTCTTTTAAATTTTCTATCTCGTACAATTTACAAATATCATTCATTGATTTTAGATACTCTTCTTTGGTTAAATAATAACACAAAAACTTAAATCTAGACCAAAATAAATCGGTATCAAAATTTCCATCTTTCTTGTGTTTATACGATTTTATTGATCTTATCATCTCCTGTGTAACATTAAAATTGTAGCTTTCACTACTTACACTTTGTGACGCTAATAATACCTAGTGAATTTACAGTACCACTGTATCAATTCTTTAACAGGAAATTATTGGGAAATTTGCTACCAGTATTTGTCAATTACTATTTAATTATTTACCTTTTCATTGACTGGCAATACAGTCGCCACTGATTATCAATTTATTGCATGAGATCAATGTTTTCTGGATTTAAAATTTTAGGGAACCCCGTTTAGTCGGGGAATTCCTCGCTTCGTGAAGCAAGAGACGTTCTCTAAGTACGGTAATATTCCTGTAGATGGTGCTTTGACTTTTATTAAAATATGTTACAATTATCGATTATGTTACACATTATCGTTTAACTTAATTTTAAGGAAAAATTATGTTACAATTCCATAATTATGTTACAAGTGGCAACACTGCTGGAAACCGAGCCAGGCTGCAGCGTTGTCAGACGTAGCGAAACGGTCTCATTGGGGTCTATTCTGTAACAATTCCTTTATATTTAACGGCCTTTAAAAATATGTTTGTATTCGTTAATTTACTTCTGTCATTATTTAAACAGATTTCTTTAAGATAGTCCTCTAATGTATTTTAAAGATCCGTTTAAATAATGACGGAAGTAAAGAAGAAAATATTTTTAAAGGCCGTTAAATATAAAGGAATTGTTACAGAATAGACCCCATTATATATTTATTTTATTTGTTTATTTATTTATGATTTACCTATACATTTTATATTTGACAGTCACCTAATAATAACTTAAAAAAAAGAATGAAAAATAAGA